TGCAGGTGAGTCTCAGATTTCCCCGGTTCTGGCATGTTTTGCTACCGGGAGTTTGGACTGCAGGGCATGACATGTTCCAGAGGAGTATCAACACACACAGGAACGGAACATTCCCCTTCATCTTCCTTCGTATCTTTGTGTGTTCTTTTGTTTGGGAGACAGATTATTGCCAATGTAACTCTGCTGCTGTTTATATGGCTCAATTCAGGAGGAGGCTCCACTCAAGGGGAACACGAGTCACTCTTTGTAACACTATCAGTATCAGATCAGTTGTATCTGTCAATACAACACCCAGCTGTCCTCCTTCCTCGGTCTGCAGCTCATAATTGACAAGTCATTTAAAGCTTTGTGTACTCAGCCTGGAGAAATTCTTCCTGGATTAGTYCAGGAAACTGTTCAGACAATTTCTGAGAATTCAAGGATGGGTRAGATAGACAAAGAAAGGGAAAAGGAATACTTAACCCTTAAAAAAGAGGAAGGAAAGAAGCTGGGATAYTTTCAGACTCATGAGCAACTGTTTTGGTAACAGGAAGGATCTCAATAAATTTGTTTATTTAGCAGTTAATTTTTTAGCCCTGTTGGGCTAAGGTGGTGAACAAAAATCAGTGCAAGCTTCTCAAAGAAACAGTTGTGCCAAACTGTTGGATGAGGGARTTCTTCTGGAGCTGGTTACTGCTTAATATTTTCTTTAATGACTTCAAGCTGTAGTTTGGTGGCACTTGAGCCTGTTTTATGTTTGGATCAGTTCCTGATCCATGTGCTAGGCATCTGCTGGCACAAGGAAGGAGCAGAACCCAGGGCAGGCACAGAAAGGCAGTGACAYTAATTCTGTCAGCAGCAGTGACAGTGTCTGCTGGTTGTTACTGAGCCAGGAGCTTGGATTACAATAAGAATAGGCTGGTGCCAGTCGGGGAGGGSTGTGAGCGCTCTGGGAACAGCATTGAACTCCATGTTCTTAGGAAAAATAAGGTATTTACATTGAATCCAATGCATTGATACAAAATCCATAATAACGTCCTTGTCACTTGTCAAACCTAACAGTGAGGTCTGTAATCAGGTCATAAGTAGAATAATATTAATGAAGGGATGTGACACAGGAAGAGGCTGTTAATAGTTTTAATATATCAATAATTGTAACAGGAATTGCACGTGTAACTTGGGTCTTCATTGCCCYTCTGTTCAGGGCTGTTGAGGTTTCAGTTCTGAGCTGCGGGCCTTAAAAATAATAACATGACTGATGGGAATTTAGAAAAGAGCAAAAATAGTAAAGAACTTTAAAATCTTGTGGTTTTATAAAAGAATAATAGAGCTGAGTTTGCTCATTCTGGAAAATACCTGAGAGCACTGTGACTGCTCACATGTGCAGGGAGATGGTGGTTCCATTCCAGGTGCAAATGAATCTTCTCACCTTTCTGGATGTGCTTTGGTTGAATGCTCTGAAACTCTGGAGCAGCTCRCTCAGGGAGTTGTGGAATTCTCACAGTGGGACTGTGGGGACAGATTAGAGGACGGGACAGGCAGTGTCCTGTGATCCCTCAGTGCTGGGTGCATGCTTAACAAAAAGGTGTGGTGCAGAAGAGACAGAATTTCCAGATACGTGCATGGATAGACTTCTGCTCCTGTCCCACCCTCCATGAGACACGTGTGAGCTCCAAGGCAACGACAGCCCAGGATTTGGGATGAGAAAGTGTTGGGGTTTTACACATCCTGTGCTGTTGCTCATCTCCTCCTCAGCTGACTCGTGTTGTAGCTGCAGCATTGTTACAAGATACTACAAGTCATTCTCACAATTTCCTGCCCTTGTATCTCCTGTCTTTTCTGTGCACATGTTCTCATTCTCTTCCCATTCTCTGCTGCTCRGATTTTATAGCCTCTCTTTTGGAATTCTCTTTCAGCTCGCTCCTGACACGGCTGAACTTGTGCCAGCTGTGGTTTGCTGTGCCAGACAAGAGCACGTGCTCCCAAGATGGATTTGCAGGCCAAGGGAACACGTGTGTGTGTGTGTGTGTGGAGGGAGCATGTCAGGCACTGAGATTGCAGCCCAGAGTCAGGGATATTCCCTTGCCAGGCTCTGGTTTGGGGTGGATGCTCCCAAGGGATCTGGGAGCTGCCCCACAGGGCGGGTGCAGAGCTCTTACTGTTCCTCTCCTTGGAGCTGCTTACCAAGAMTGTTCATTTTAAAGGCAGTTTTAGTTTAAAGGCAAGATTTCTTGGCGTTTTGTTAAGGGAATGATGGATGTGAAGGGACTTTGGTTCTTCATGTTCTGAACTATTTTGCCTTAGAGAATTGTGTAAAAGATTTTACATGGCCCTGCTTTCTTCTCTGTCCTTAATTCTTTCTACTGCTCTCACACCCCTTTCACAACAGATTCATTGCAAGAAGGGCCTCCACATGTCCATTATTCAAGTTTGTAGTATTCTTTTGCATTTGTAGTTGCATACTTCTTGGAAACTAATTGTTGGTAAAAATGACTGGATTTAATGCCTATTTTTAATGTATTTTTAATTATTTACATAGGGTTTTTGCCATCAAACTCAGCCTGAGAGGTGTCACAGAGCCCAGCAAGGTACAGAGGGAGTGTTTCCTTGACTCCAATTTCATGGATGTGTATTTTTGASAAGTTCTGGTTTTGTTGTTTGGTTAATGTTTGAATTTGGTCTAATTTTTCCTCAAGGCTTTTCTATTTCACCTTGGTAGTTGTTTGCTTCCAGTGGTAGATGAATCTTTTTTTGTGCCTGTGAACTTGGTGGGAGTGGAGGGAAATAGAAGGGAAGATGCAGCTTTGTACTGAAGATCTTCCTGGAACAGGAAACAGAACAGCAACAGAATGACCCAAGTCCTTACAGCAACAAACAAAGTTAGATTTCATTTCATATTTTATTTGGCAAAAAAATAAGCTTTGTTACCATAAATCATAAAATTAATAGGGCCAAGATACCCTTAGAGATTAGGAGTTCTCTCACCCCAGGACTGAAGAGCTCACACCAGGCAGGGACTCTGAGGCCGTTCCCCATCAGTACAGAACGTCCTGTGGTGTCCCCAGAGCAGCGTGTACACCACAAGTAGCAAATGGGTACTCRGGGCCTGTGCCACGTGTGCCATACACTGGGCACACTATGGGCTCTGTATGAGCACAGCACGTCAGCTTGCACTCTTCCTGCTGCCTTTGGACCTGGGGYTGGGGATTTTTATAGAAGGTTCTGGAACGCACAGTTCCGACTGTGTTTGGGAACTCACGAGCCTGTCCCTTTGCTGGGATGGAGTGAGCCGCACAGCTCTGTGTTTGGGATGTGCAACATTGGCACCAGCAGGGATTTAAAAGCACTTCATTTCCGTTGGTGCCCTCCACATAAGCATGGTAGAATGGCAGAGCYCTTTTCAGCATCCTGCTGGCACTTTCCTTCTGAATTCTCCTGCAGATGGTGTTCCCAAACTGCTCCAATGCCCTCTGAGGTTTTCAGTGCTTGGCAATAGGATTTGTGATGTTGGGTGGTGTTGGGATGTCAGGCTCCAGCTATGGGAGTGTTCTGAGGGGCTCTGTGGAGTGCTCTGGGAATGTGAGAAAATCCTGGAATGGTTTGGTTTGGAAGGGACCTTAAAGTCCCATGGGCAGGGACACCTTCCACTATCCCAGGTGGCTCCAAGCCCTGTCCAACCTGACCTTAGACACTTCCAGAGATTGCATCCTGGTGGTTCTGGAGTTATCTGCGGTGTGGGAGACTCCACACCCCTCTCTAGGCAGTGTAGTCAAGCTTTTCTSATCAGACCAGGGCTGTATTCTCTCTATTCTGGTAACCAGTGTCCGAGTGTGCTGCTCAGAGCTGGAGGGACTGGAATCTGCTCACATCCCAAGCAGTGGGGTTGCAGCCAGGAGGGGCTTCCTGACAGTCCCACCTACGGATGCAGGGAGTTTGTCAGGCAAAGATCTGGTTAACAATGGGCTGAATTATCCTTTGTCTGATATATTGTGTCATGAGATGTTTGTGGCAGCACTGTGGGGTTCAGGTCTAAGCTGGGACGTGCTGTGACACATCCCCAGAGAATTGAGGAGCTCAGGAAGGTGAGCAGGGGCTGCTGGCCGTGTGCTGGTGTTTGCAGGGCTGTGTGAGTGTGAGCAGTTTATGATTCATTAGTCTGCTTTCCTCCCAGGCAGCAATCAATTCTACTACCTGAGCTCCCAGTGTTATTTCCTGTCGTGACACAGTAATTATTTCAGGGCATGTTTTGAATGAAGCAACCTTCTGGTTTTACTCCCAGCCTGTTTCTCCACTGTTCATTGTATTCAAAGCAAGCACGGGGATTTTTATTTTGCAACTGTGATTTTATGGGCAGGGAGCAAATAATGATGTGAACAGCATGGCTCAGTGGTACCATCTGTATTGCTTTGGGGTAGATGCTGACTGAAAACTTGGCTCATAATAGACTTTGTTTCTTTTAAAAGAAGTGAAGTTTTTATTGAGACTCTTAAAAATCTTCCTTTGACTAAAGCAAATAATAATTTCAATCTGATAGCTCCTCATTTTGCATATACAGCAGAAGTCTGCACTTCCTCGAAAATCAATGGTGTGGTTTGAGTCATGATTTCTTTTTGTGCAATAGGGATTGACTGGTGTGYCAGGAGAGGGACAGACAGGATGAGAGACATGAAAGTAATGTGGGAGAGGAGTGAAACAAAAAAGAAAGTAAAATTGGGTCATAAGGTAGAATAACTCAACATACAGAAATAATTTAAGACCACCCAGCTGCAGCATAAGGATTCTTTTTCTCTTGACTTTTACGTATTCAGCTACAAGTTTAATGTGAACAGATTTAAATTGGACACAGAGTTTTGAGTTATTTGGCCAGTCCTTGTTGAAGCAATCTCACTCCTGATAGATCTACCAAGGGAGMAAGAGCTGTGGACCAAGGAGCACTGGGTGTTGTGAGGARTTTYTCCATGGAAAGGGCTGCCCAGGGCAGTGGTGGGGTCCCCATCCCTGGAGGGATTTAAGAGCCATGTGGATGTGACCCTTGGGGATGTGGCTGCTGGGGAATGTGGGACTYGATGGTCTTGGAGGCCTTTTCCAGCCTGAATGATTGCAGTGAGTGAGCTCTGTGCTGGATGCTGTAATGCCCTGCTAAATGAGAGAGGAGCACATTCGTTTTTAACAGGAATCCAACTCTCCATCATGGGGTTGTTTGCAGCTGGAATGTGAAATTCCAGAGGAGAGGGGTAGTGGTGCACGAGCTGACACACCCTGGAGTTATTTGGTCAAGTAGGAATGGTAGAAATTCCCGTCTCATCATTCAAAAGGCTAAGAATGGTCCAGACCACCAATTTTTTTCCTTATAACTTATGCTCTGCAGATGGAACTGAGTCAGACAGATGTAATTTGAGTGATTATCCCTCTTGGCTCGGTCCTCCCCTTGCCTTGGTAGCTAAAGAAATCTTTGTAACCAGGGGATAATATTTTCTTCCAAAACCAACTGCAGAGTGGAAATTGCTCCCCCAAGATGCTTTATGGCATCTGTGCATCAGAACTGTAGTTCAGAATTGTATGGGTAAATRTCTTCCCAGTTCAAGCACTTTGTCCTCAGCAAAATTGGGTTTTTAGTTCCTAATTGATTTTTTCTGTTCACTGCTTCTCTGCAGAAAGGGGACATGTGAGTCYCCTTTCTACTCACAGCTCTGAGAGTTTCCTTTTCTATTCCTTCCCAACTCTTTTTCCCCTGATTTTTTTTTTTCTACTTTGAATTTAAGATGACAAGAGTGTTTTTATCAAATGGACACAGTGAAATAAGAAATCTGTGATTTTTTGGCTTTGTCGCAAATACTGTAAAAATCCTACCTGATCTGAAATCCACCCATATTTTTATTCCACCTGAGCAATGGACATGAAGGAGAGAACAGGACCCCTTTCCAACTGAGCCCAGACAGATAATATTTATTGTGGTATGACTTCATTTTTTTTTTGAAATTCAGTAACAAAGCTGACTTTGAAAACGAAGAAGTTTTGGTACTTGCAGAAACCATTTTCGATTCAGGCCCCCGATGATTTTATCTTGTTTTGAATTGGAGAAGGCAGTGAAATTTCTGGGCTGTTTGTTTGTGCAGCAGCAGTGACTGTGCTGCAGGAGAGCACCATGTCCTCTGTGTGATAAGAACCCCCTCCTGTGCTCTCTACACCAGCTCATTTTGTCCTTCCTCAATACAGTCATTTCAGTGCTTTGGAACTTTGGGTAGTTATCCTGAATAACAGTTTCAGGTTTCCAAGCACGGTTTGCAGCTGCCAGGAAAAATAAACTTGTGTTTTCAGCTCCTTCAGAGCAACTGTAACYAGGGGGCATTTAAACTGGGGCAACATTAAGAAATGGGAAATAAAACTTGTCCAGGGCATCCTGAAACATCATTTATATCAAACTCTATTTGAAATCCTAAAGGTTGTTGAGTCATGGGTTAATGAGTCTTGAATTTWTCATTTTGGAAAGCTGTTTTCTTTAGATAGGATTTCTTTCTGTTTGTCTCAGTGTCTCAAAATGTTTTTTTTTTCCTTCTTCTGTAAAACAAGGGTTTCTTAATTGGACTTAAACTGTTTGAGCAGGTGCTTGCGTGTTCCCTTCTTCAAGGTTAATAATTGGATCACTTGGCAAAGTCTGTTTCTCAATTTAATAAATGGCCTTTCCATTGGCTGTGACTTACATGCTCTGTGTTTTTTAATCAGTCCTGAGTCCTCTATACCTGGCAAAGGGGTTACATGTCCCACAGCACCCAGGGCCATGGACACCTCATCAGCATCATTCATGAATTMTTTTTGTAAAGATTGCTGGATTACATAATTTTATTCACTCTCCCACATTTTGCTACTTCAGCTGGATACAAGTTGTCAGAAATGCACAGAAATAACATTTTTCTGGCACAGGCAATCACAGATTCATTAAGGAGATAACTTTATAAACCACAGCTTTTTATTTTCAATGAATACATCAAACCTAACTCAGAAGTACTTCAGCATTTCAGTGGGAGTTCCCACATATCAAATTGCCAGAGTTGATGTATGTTGTGTTATTGCCAGTTAAGGCAAAGTGCTGCCATAGCTGGGGTTCATTTTGCTAATGTGGATTTTTGTCTTTATTTGTTAAAGCAATAACAATCTGAAATATTCCACAGCAGTAAATKGTTTAAATAGTTTGGATTTATTATTATTTCTGAGTTTCACTGAGGGGTTTTTAAGTTGAACTTGCTTCAAGTTGTCTGTAAGAAACATTTTCTCTCTTTGCAGATGCCCCGGGACCAGACAGTGTGCAAATACTGTGGAATCAGCTACCTGATATTCCACGAGTTTAAGGTGATGGAAGACAAAGTGAAAGCAATGGAGAAGGAGATTAAAGTTTATAAAGGAAGTCTAGAACGGGAGCAAAGGCTTCAGGCAGAATTGCAGGCTCTTTACCACGACCTTGAGCGCTGTCGAGCTGAGAGTGAATCCAAAACAGAAAGGTCAGAGCACATCATCTCCTCTGGTGATCCTCTCCTGTGTGTGCAGTAGGGAATTTCAGCCCAAAGCAGCTTCAAATACAAATAACATTTGTCTTTCTTTTCTCAGATGGCCCATATACACGGTAATATTTKATTTAAACCATCTTTCATAGTATCCTTTGGAGGCAGATTACAAATTCCTGAGCAGTTTAGAAGCAGTCAATATATTGAAGGTGAAAGAAAGGCCAGAAGGCACTCAGGGATTTCCCCTGCACACACTCCCAAAGGGAAATGATAAATATTTCGTCTTATCATCTTGTAATAAAACTGTAATATTGCAGATGAAATTCCACAGGGCTGGGGGTTCTGCAGTTCTGACATTTGGGCTTACTGTCTCACAGTAACCTGACAGAGAATTCCCAGGAAATTCTTGTCTGGGAATCTCAGAGTTCCCTCTTGCAGGGCTGATATAGAATACTAAAGCAATCAGGAACACTTTGGGGTGTTTTGCTTCAGAACAGGAGGTTTCAAATCCTTACAGCTGGGAAGGCCCCAGTTAAAGGGGGAGTTTTGTACCTTAAGAACTCCAGTAAAGCTCARACCCACGTTTGGATAAGAACCTTCAAGTGGGTTCTTTCAGATCTTACTTACAGGGTTGGTGTCCTTTTCTACCCTCAAATATTGGAATCTTGTTATATTCCACTGATTGATTACAGTAGGACTATAAACAATTGATGTTTGTAGTCAAATAAAAGATATTTTATAAAAATGCAGTTTCCTCATGTTGATTACTGATGGAATAATGGGGACAAACAAGGCCATCAGAAACTTCTGGCTGATTTCTTGCTCATCTGTCTCAGACTGCCAGAAGATTTTCATAAGAATGAAATTTTAATTTTAATTATCAGCTCAGTTTGATTTTAGGGATACCTAGGAGGGGTGTTGCTTGTGTGACTGACTCACATCAAGTGATCTAGAGCTGAAGATGCTCTTGAGATTGGACTGSAGTGCTTTGGAAACCTTTWTTTTTTTTKGAGAATCACTTAAATACTATTAAATTTTTAACTGAATTAAGGGTTTCTTCTTTTGCTTGCTAATATTACTACTAAAAGATTAATTTTAAAGCACAAATTCCCACAAAAGTGAACAAAATGCATTTATCTTGTAGATCACTCATAAAGTTTCTTGCAATATCTTTTTCATTTAAATTTTACATCGTCCACCCCCTCCTTCCCAATATTTAATATTTTCTGTGGTTTAATGTCTGTTTAAGAGTGTGTTTGCTCCTTGTCCCTTTAATGACCCTGTGTGGCAGCTCTGGTGGCAGAATCCAGTGTGTGAGCAAATGCACTGACAGCACATTCTTCTTGTTGAGGATCATTTGCCAGAGCTAAACTTTAAATTTTCATTGAGCTGACTTTTTGTAGTAAAGCTGGAACACTTAATAAAATTTTTATCTCTGCACTTTTCCCCCCTAAGGCTCCACTTGATTTAAAAGCTGCTGAAATCAAGTGGAATACTTGCAGTAGGCTTCCATTGCAGCCATAAATCAGCCACTGTGCCTTGTTAAATATCTTGTCTAAATATTTCTTATCTTCTCCTTGCTGTCCTGGGCCTCTCTGACTGCTTTGTGCTTTGGCATGAACTGTTGAGCATCCTGGCTCTGGCCAGGCTGACAAATCATTGCTCCCAGAAGCCAAACTGCCTTTTTCTTCTTCTTATCTCTGCTAGACGAAGGGATTGAATCTCCCTTATCAGCTGCAGACTGTTTCAGTTTTATATTCCCTTTAGGTTCAGGTTTTCCTGTTTGTACCTGTGKTTAACCTTGAAAACCATCTGGGGGTTTATTTATCCTTAGTTACCTCTCCTTTGGGATCCTGGAGAGGGGGAGCTAACTGCAGTGATCCCACTCAGCTGTTCAGCCYTATTCTGTGTTAAAATCACTTCGACCTTGATAGTTAATTGAAGTATAATTAATTTAATCATCGAAATTCTTGCCACATCCAGTACAGGAAATGTAAAATAGACGTAAATGCTAAAGATTTCCTGAAGTGTCACATCCACACATATCTTGAACGTTTCCAGGGGTGGTGACTTCACCACTTTCTGAACTGAAAATGAGCAGCTCCTGGCTGTGAAATGAAAATGAGCAGCTCCTGGCTCTGGGCAGCTCCCAAAGTTTCATGGAAATGAAAATACTGGGGTGGAGCTGTTTTTGGACAGTGTGTTCCAGGCTCCTCTGTGCATCCTGTCCTTGCTGCCAGTGCTCCTCCTTCCCACTGGGGTCCTGTGCCTTGGAGTACGAGGATTGTTTCTTGTGGTGTGAAATGTCTTAAATACCTGAACACAGGAACTGCTCTCACTGCTTTTGGGACCAGGAGGGTGTTTTGTACTCCTGCCATTCATCTCCTGTCAGCACTGGGAGTGAGCATGTCCTAATCCACCTCCCACCCAAGCAGGATTCCTCCTGGATTCCCAGGAACACGTGCTGGATGCAAGGATGGCCTGTGAATTCTCACAGAGGACACAGGGGATGAGATCAGTGTGTTCCCACCATTCTCTAAATGCCAGCCTTTAATGATCCATTGAACTTTTCCTTTGTGCTAAAAAGCCCCAAAATAACATTTTTATTTTCCTTCCTTCTTATGGTGGCASTGGAGTGCAACTGTCTTGGCTTTTCCACTGGTTTGTGTGTGAGTGACCAGGACGTGCTGAAAACATCCCTTTAATGTCAGAGCTCTGGAGTGGAAAGAGGAAGAAAACGTCTCTCTCCTCATTTACCAGTTTCCTTTTAAACCAAGAGATCTTCACACACTGCCCATTCTAGGATAACAATGGAAAATGAGCATCTGGCTCTCCCTGACTCCAAAGTTTGGTTTTGTTATTGCTCAGTGATAACTCACTGCTTTTTTCCTCATCTGCAAAAATAGACAAATAGACTGGAATTCCCGTAGCTTAGGGGAATGAACTTTTCCTATGAGTGACAACAGTTCTGCTCCCAAATACAGTAAAACAGATTTTATTCCTCCACCTCCTGGAAATTTGCAGGCAGCTGTGGGGAAATTTTCCTAAAAAATGTAATGTTAGAAATGTCTTTAATTTTGTAATTTTTTTTTGTTCCAGTGATCACAATTTAACTCCAAAACTGCACTTTTTAACCCCCAGCTGTTCAGTTCTGGTTTTGTCAGAGCTCTGCAGATCCAGGTTTCTTTACCAGGACTAATATTTTTTTTAAATGTGTGTTTTGGTGCTGATCTATGTGATAATGGTAACTAATGCACTGTCATGGTTTGGTTTAATTTTAATATATTTTTACTATAAATCATCCTCATTTTCCTCTGCTGTTTAAAATTGAAGCCAAGGCTGATGTAGTGCTTCTGCCAGCCTTTGGTTTTGTAAAATATTTGTTTTATTCAAATATTATTTATTTACTTGTGGCAATGAATCACCAGTAGACAAATAGATCATTTGCTCTGCATGAACAGGAAGTGCTGAAAGCTTGAACAGGGGCTGGTTTTTAACAGTTGCTTGTCACTGGGGGTGTATTTTTGGGGCTGGAAGGCTGCTTTAGGATGGTTATCCACAGGAAACAGCTGGGGCTGATGTGCTGTGTGGGATTCTTCCCCCACATGTACCACAGGAAGGGAATTGGGTTCAACTTTTATTCTGTRCAGATCCATTCATTTCCTGACAATTACGGCAGAAAGTGCTGAGTTGTTGAAAGAGCAGGGTTTAAATTGTGTTTATTTACACTGGGATAGCTGTGCCTGAAAACCAGACTGGTGCTGCAATGAGAAGTTCCCAAGGTAAATGTTAGAGGTGAAGGGCACCTTGGGGGGATGGTTCTGGAGGTGTTTGCTGTGCCCAAGGCCAGCACWGAGCTGAGTCCTGCCCTGAGCCCAGGGAGGGGCCTGGGAAAGCTGAAACCAAAGGTACACGTTGATTAGGAGTGCAAACARTTCTGATTATTTTATTTGCATCTGCAGGATAAAAACCCTAACAGTAGAACTTAAAACCAAGCAAGAGGAGGTGAAAAATGTGAAAGCTGATCTGCAGTATTTCCAGGAGGAGAAGGAAGCTGCCTACAAGCAGTCACAGGTGCTCAGGTGAGAACCCCAAAAGAAAGACTGATGTTGGAAGTGCTCTGTTTCTTACACATGTATTGTTTATAAGGACTCACCATAAACCTGGGCAGTCATTTAAACATTATTACTYTGATTTGTCAATAAAAAATAGTTGTACAAGTGCTAAAAGCTCTAAATCAACATTTAGAAGGGAGAAGCTTATTCGACATTTATTTAATGTACAGCACATTTCATGCACTAAATTATTGTAACCCAATGCAGTATAAATGATCAGATAATGGGAAAGTTGTCAAGCATAATTTAAATCCCAAGTTTACTAAATACAGTAATTTTTRAATATTCATGTGGTATTTTTTCTCTCTTGCAGAAATACCTTGGAACACCATTGCTCAACTCTGAACAAGGCTGTCTCTCTGTTCCCTTTCATTAGAAGTGAACTAGACAGTATTAAAGAGGTCATCTCCACCAACCTGGAGAACTTTGCTGCCATGAAAGAAGAAATTTCTCTGCAAATAAAAGCYGTGAGCAAAGAAGCTCTGACAGGTAAAGCATCCTGCAATCATTTTGGGCAAGAGAAAATGGGATACTACGGGTGAAAATGGGATACTACAGGTCCAGCACCCTTCTGGGAGCTGCTGGAGTGTCCTGCAGTGCTGCCTCTCAGATATGGCCAGRCTGCCACGAGCAAACCCACATCAGTGACTACACCCCCTCCCATCTCTGAGGAAGAACAAACTTTGCCAAATGCAGCCTTCCTTATCTGAGAGGTCTTTGGGATTGGAAGGGGCATGGAGCAGCCCCTGGGCTGGCAGGAATTCCCTTGGCCCCCAGCCTGCTTCCTGCTGGAACAAGGGCAGCCTTCAGGGAAACCAGAGCTGGGAGCAAGGCACAACTGCTGGCTTGTTCAGGAGGGGTCGTGCCCGGCCTCAGGCTGAACCTCAAAGTGATCCTTGAATGCCACTTTTGCTGTGCCTCAGCTGAGATTGGTTTCACTGAAATGAGTGTGCAGTGGTGCAATTACAGACTGCAGCATGCAGAGTTCCCAGCTGGCCCTGTGCCCACTGTTACAGCTTTAAAGGCCTCTGGAAATAATATTCAGACATATTCCTTTCCTTGTAGTTTTTCAGTGTGGATGAGCTGCTGTTTCACAGAATATCCTGAGCTGGAAGGGATYCCAGGGGATCAGTCCAGCTCCTGGTCCTGCACAGGACACCCCAAAGATCCCACCATTGTCCAAATTAACCTCTCAGGGTCGGTGTGATCAGGGTTATAAGGTAGCCAGGGAGCAGGTGGGCTGATGCCATGCTTTCCATCCTTGGAGGAGGGTTTGAGGGCACGCTGGGTGATGGGATCTCCCATATCCTCTGTCCCTGTGGCTCCAGTGCACATCCCCAGCTCCAGTGAAACCTGCGTGTGTGGAGCAGCTCCCAAATCCTGGAGCTGTCTGAAACAGCAGCTGCCAGTGGCCTGTGCTTCCTGGGACATGAGCAGGGAATTCTGTGTCCTCAATGATTGCTTTGTTCCCACTGGGAAGGACTCTGGGGACAGCTGGGCCTGCAGTGGCACAAACCCACTGAGACAGAACCAGCAGGGATTGGGGGGGCTGGGCCCCAAAGGGTTCCTGCTGCTGGAGATGGGTGTGAACAGAACATCCCTYCCTAACACAATTCACTGAAATATCAACGTTTTGATTCACCTCCTCAGCCTCAAAGGGATCCATGCATTTCAAGGCWTCTTTTCTGGAATATTCTGGTCCTGTTTGTTGCATTGCTCCATATACAGAGAGGATCTCTATGGATGCAGGAGTGGAGCCGTTCTTGCACAGGCTCATCCAACATATCCCACTTCAGACAAGTGCCACCCCAGGAATATTATATCCATCCTCAAATCCAGCTTTCTAAATCAGAACAATTTRGTCACATTTATTTTTGAGGGCCTGTGAAGGCCATTTGAAATCTTTGATGTTTTGTTSTATCAGTTGTTTGTGGTTAACATAAAATAACAACACTAATTTTTTTTTTTGCCTCCTCAGAAATACCCAAATTGAATCAAAGATTGGCAAAATCCCAGAGGGAGAATGAGTGTCTCCAGGAGAAGGTCAAACACCTCACTGGGGTGGCTGACACAGTTGAGCTGAAAACTCAACAGCTCCAAACTTCCCTTCAGCAGGGGAACGAGCTCCAGAATCGGTGCCGTGAGCTGCAGAAGGAAACTCTGGGTAAGAGAAGTTTTTATCAGCAGTTAGAGGGAGATGACATGTCAAATGCTCAGCACAGGGCAAGGTCTGCTGGATAATTGTCTGTTCAGACTCCCCAAATTWAAAATCGATAGTGGTGGTAATGTGTCTGTGTTCTCAGTGCTGGGAGCAGCAGGGCTCCTAAAAGATTTCTGCTTTCATTTTATTACCGGCCATYTCCTTTACTTAATCACAGATAAAGAACCATTTTTCTTCCCCAAAGTCCTTGTGGTGTTTCTTTAGCCTTTTGGCAGCTCTGGMCTTGTTCTGGATGATTTGAAATTGCTGCTGGTGCTCATGAAATCTGAATTTTCAGTCTTTTGCTGCTCCATAGGCTWCCTCAGCTCCTAAATATAAAGTTTGTGGTCTGCTGCTGTAATGAGGCTAATGAGAGATGATGGAAACCGGCAGCAGCTGGAGGAGCCGGGGTGTTGGAGAGGGGAACGTTAGCACTCCTCACTGAAAGGAGCCGTGTTTTCATCTCCTGAAGTGGCTCTAATGGCACTTTAAAGACCACTTTGAAGAGCTTTGAAAATCCAAAGGGGGAATAGTTTCCTGCAGTTTTAGGTAGGCTGTGGTTCAAACAGCCCCTATTCATGCTACAAGTGCTGTTGAAATGTATTTTTTATGAATTCCAGCTGCGGTGRGAAGGCTTGGAAGGGTGAGAGCTGGGGAATGCAGGGCTGGTGTTGGAGCAGAGTGTGACGAGGCAATGGCTCATTAGTGCTTTTCAGCAGGCTGAGTGCAAGAGGAAGCACATGAATCCATGGAAAACAGTCCCAGTTCCTGCAAAGAGGGGTTGGGATCAGCCTGCTGTGGAGGGTGACTCAGACAAGGGCCAACTGTGCTTCTGAGGAAAAGCAGGAATCCATTCATAATGGAGCCAGGMTGGGAGAAATGGGGGTGTGGAGAGGAGAAGGATCCAGGGAGAGCTCAGAGCCCCTTTTGGGGCCTGRAGGGGCTCCAGGAGAGCTGGAGAGGGACTGGGGACAAGGGATGGAGGGACAGGACACAGGGAATGGGATCACACTGCCAGAGGGCAGGGATGGATGGGATTTTGGGCAGGAATTGTTCCCTGTAGGGTGGTGAGCCCTGGCACAGGGTGCCCAGAGCAGCTGTGGCTGCCCCTGGATCCCTTTGAGTGCCCAAGGCCAGGCTGGACATTGGGGCTGGAGCAGCCTGGGACAGTGGGAGGTGTCCCTGCCATGGCAGGGGTGGCACTGGATGGACTTTAATGACCCTTCCCATCCAAACCATAATTCCATGTTAAAAGGACATGTCTTTGTTGTGCTTTGTTTTGTCTGCTTGGCCTAAACACTGAGGGGTAAAAAATTGTCCACAAGKAAAGTTAAGGTCAGAATCACCATTTTTCCCCAGCCAGTTAGTAAGGACACTATTTCAAACGAATTTTAATGTGTAGGAAAAGCAGGTCTGCAGGAATTCTGACATATTCAGATTTGTTTGGCTTCAAAGAGGCAGGAATAGAGGCAGAGAATTCAGGCTTTAGACCCAATCCTTTGATGCTGGAGTGTGAACTCTGGCCATRGATGAGCAAATCCAATCCTTTTGAGTTCAGGAGTGCTTGTAATGTGTCACTGGGGGAGTGGGAGGGGAGCAGCCTTTGCCMAGTGAACATTTTTTCCCTATTTAAGGACTTTGTGAGGTCTTGGAGATTKTCATGTTTACATGGTTGCAGTTGTTGGTTTATTCTTTTGAGGGCACCRAGGCTGCCCTTGATTGGTGCCCCTCATCCCTTTTTCTGCTTTTTCTCTGCTGGTTTTCTGTATGAAAGTGAAAGAATTAAGCAGAGGGCCAGAAAGCCCAGTCTGGCAGTGGTCAGTGRCATATGCTGGGGGAGATAAGCCCCAGTCACTCCTTTCCTGGCACATCCTCCCAGTTCCTGGCAGCTTTTAGTGCTTTGGATGCTTCCTGATGGCACTGGTGAGGTCTCCAGAAAGGATGTAAACCTGGAGTCCATCCCTGGGCTCCTTCCAGACTTTTCTGAGTCACAAATAGAAGAAGTTTCTCGTGTAGACAAAAAAAAAAAAAAAATCTTAGAGAGCACAGTACATGAAATATTATAAATACAAATAATTCGTTCTGTTCTGTGCAGGGGCTTGGGGTGTGATTTCACTTCTTTGGTCTTTTTAAAAACATGTGGTGAGGCAACATTTTCYTGCTCTGACACAGTAATTTTTCATGGATGTATTTCATATTTCTCAYTGTTTGTCTGCTATGCTCTTTAAATAAATGTACTGGAAGCTCTCTGTGTTAAGGGTACAATTTGGTCTAGCATTAATGTTCTGAGAAAAATCAAATATTTTTGCCCCTTTGACACAGCTCATTGGCTAAATTCAGGACCCATACAAGGGGAAGTTTTTTAGTGGTTTTAAAGAATTGCTGTAACCTCCTATTCCCAGAATAGCAGAGAAATCCAGGAAAAGGAGCTGGGTTTCAGTGTGCCTTGGCCAGGGATGCATGTGCTCTCTCTCTTCCAATTCCTTGACCATTTTCCAGGTTTGAGCTCCCAGTGTTTTCCAGGCTGGTCCCTGATGGCTGAGAGAGGACCCAAAGGTCTGGGAGTGCCTGGARGGGAGAGGAAGGGGATGGTTCCAAACCCTGCTGGGATGGGCAGATGGCTTTGAGCCTSGAGCTGTGGCCTCCCTGGAYCCCTGGCAGTGCCMAGGCCAGGCTGGARGGGGTTTGGAGCAGCCTGGGACAGTGGRRGWKKYCCYKSCMWKGSMRGGGKKG